CTGCCCCATCTTTAAGCACCATTATGTGAGCTGCTTCATATGGTGCAACAACTTCGACGGCGACAATGGAGAAGATTAGGGTTGTGGGTTGCTGGCTCTGTTTCAGTGTCATGGGTTTTGGTAGAGATGTTATCCCAAACAGGTATTTTAATTAGTTAGTTATGCCGGATATGTTGAAACCATGGGAAAAGTTGCTAGAGACTTTAATTAATTAGATTTGTAATTAATTATGCTGGATTTAATTAATTAGATTTGTAATTAGATTAATTAGTTTGTTTTATTGCTAAAATTGTGATAAATTTGAACTATATCCTTTGGTACCTATTAATAGTTGATTTATTATTATTATTATTATTAGTTGAAGTTATTTGTTGGTTATAGGGTGCTTGGCTTCCATTGGGAAACAAATTCCGTAGCAATTTGAGTTGACAATAATATTTGTGTGAGTTTTTTTCCCTTTTTCTGTGTCTTGAGAATATTGCAGGCTTCAAATAATACAAAAAAACACTATCAAATTGGTTTTTTTCATTTTTTTCCCTGTTATGAGTTGTCAATTTGATTTTCTTAACGCTGTGTGATCTCCCATTTTTGCGAGGTGACTTATGTAATCTCAATGGAGTTGTTTTTCGGTGACTCTCTCTCTCTTTCTCTCAATTGATAGCAGCGTATAACTTACATTATTTCCTCTTTTATTGACTATTTTTGTTTAGTGTTTTTTGATGTAGTATTTGTTTTATATCTCATTTATATGAATTAGTTTCCTTTTTGTTTTCATTATTGTTTACTCCAATTGGTTTAGTTTTACTCTTTTTTTTATAATTTATTTTTTATATTGATTTCTTCTTTATTTCCCTTGGGATTTAATAATCTTGGAAAAAAATAAAAAAAAATTAACCACAAATTAGACCCACTAGCAAATGCATGTCAAGTTTTACAATGTTCCCCAGTTGTGGGTGAGTGTACCTTAGTTTGTTTTCTCTTTGTGAGCATGCAATCTTTTTGTCTTACAATGTTCTACAGGCTGTGGGTGAGCGTACCTTAGTTTGTATTATCTTTGTGAGCATGCCATCTTTTTGTTTTACAACATACCTTAGTTGTTATTCTCTTTGTGAGCATGAAAATCCTTTCATTTTTAAGAGTTAAACCTGGACATATCATTTTTTTTGTGTTTGAATTCTTAATTTTATTGTTTCACATTTGAATTCAAGTATGTTGAGGAGTGCCATCGGCATGTGTCATCCACTTATTCTCTTCTTCTTTTTTAAAAAAAAAAAGGAAATTAAGCCATTTATTTGTGATATTTACATCCTCTATTTTTTATTTTCTCAACTGACTGTACGTTTTTCAATCCATATGGTTGTTTGGTTTGATTATTTCTCAAGTGGCATGACTTTGCTACCATGTCAGGTTTACTTACAGATGATGACAGTGGTTAAATCCTGTATCTTCTTTTTTTTAAAAAAAAAAAAAGGAAATTAAGCAATTTATTTGTGATATTTACATCCTCTATTTTTTATTTTCTCAACTGACTGTACGTTTTTCAATCCATATGGTTGTTTGGTTTGATTATTTCTCAAGTGGCATGACTTTGCTACCATGTCAGGTTTACTTACAGATGTTGACGACATTGGTTAAATCTTGTAGAATTTGAGACTTGGCCGATGACGGTAATTGGAGCCTCCATTGAATTACAAATATGCAAGAAACCTAATTTTTTATTATTATTTGATGATATGGATTGGTATGTTGTGATAGAAACTATACTTCAAGTTTTGTTTATTATTTTTTTCCCCCTTCTTTTTTAGACTCGATAACTCAAGCGGTGCTTAAAGCTCAAACAATTACATTTTTTCTAATTTGTTTTGTTATGCATGTGTTTCAGTTGAATTGGAATTTTAATGAATCAGTTTGATTTGGATAATGCTTTACATTTGAATGACGGGGTTTTTTTTTTTTTTGCTGTCAATCACTCCATTCATCTTTGTAACAAAATTATTATTTTTCTTTAGTTAGTGTTTTAGGTGTGATTTTTTCATTTTGAAAATGCTATACTCTGTAGAGTATGGATATCTATGTTGATTCAATTTGATAACGAACTATGAAAGTGATTCGAGCCTTGACAGAGTCACCTAAGATACCGTTATTTTCTTTTACTTACTCCGTGTATAATGGACATCCATGTATATATTCCCTTGCACTGTCTACAAACATTAATGATATTTTGATTAATTATTTTCTTTCCTTCGTTTCAATTGTTATATTTCTATAATTCAATTTCTAATATCTAATTTCTTCTTACTGCAGTTCATCAATTTTTTGATTTCTTTGATAATATTTTTCATTAAAGTTTTGATAAATATGTCATTTCTTTTCTACCTCTAATCGTTAGTTTTCTCCCAAGTTTTAGTTTGTTACTTTATGCTGTTTTCGTATTATGCTATGTTTTTTGTTAGTGGTCACCAATTTATAGGTTCTCGATATAATCAAAGGTATAAACCCTCTCACACAATTTTTCTTTATTACATCTATTTCATTATTCGTATAATTTTGATAAAAGTTAAATTTTTTGATTTGTTACTTATTAGGTCTTCGGTGATTATTCGGTTTATAAAAAATTTCTCCCTCCCTCCATTTTGTAGTTATGTTTTAAACAAAGCTCTCTTTCCATTTGCATAAAAGATGGAAGCAAAATGAGACTAATGAGCAGTAAACCATGATAAAAAAAAAGAGTATTGCTCAAACTTTTTGCTTTCATTTGCTTTTTCAATTAGATTATTTTTCTAAATCTTTCTTTTCTTATGGAGCTTAGTAAAGGGTGTTGTAGTAGTCTTTGCTGCTTTTCTGTGAGTGGCTTTGGTGAATGTAAAATAGTGGGATGAAATAGAATGGATTGGTATGACCTATGAGAAACCTAATATAATGGCTTATTTGACTGACTCATGCACTGTACACTAGATTTTTTTTCCCGCCATAAGAAAATGTTGGTTTGGCCATTACACATTTTGGTGATTGTTGGGAGTATGTGTTGAGGATTTAAACCAAAAAGAAAATGTGCATAATGAGGATTAAAAAAATTGAAAAAAAAAAACAAAAAAGGGAAGATAAACATAGATAAATCTTCTTTTTTTCTTTTTTTTTTATTGGTGAACACAGATTAATCTTAGAAACAAAATAAATACCTTGCTTAAGACAATATATGTTGGTAAATTTTGAGTTAATTTGGGAATAACTTTGTGCTAAGTTTTGGAATCTCCTAAGTTTGGAATTGCATAGTACAGGTTGGTATACATTGTTTGATATTTAATTTTCAATTTAATTTGTTGAGATTGCAGAGCATTTGTTGGTGTGCTTTATGTATGTAATTTTTTTTTCTTTTTATTATAGAACGTTAACAAGTATACAATAGCGTTGATTTCTGTACTTTGTTTAGAGGGAGTTGTTATTTTATTTGAGTCCTGTACAGTGTGTCATACAAGTAAAATTGTTACAAGTTCTTTAAGAATAATAATATTTCTTTATCTTTTCTTAGTATCTTTATCAAAAAACGACACAGATTTCATAAATTTCAACATAGTATGCATAAATTACAACTGTATTTTAATCCCAATATTATTTACACCGTGCCTTTAGGTACAGGCATACACTAGTGATATGACAACGTATAGTAGCTTTATGATTTTTTGGCTAAAATATTTGGCTTTTTGACTAAATCTATGTTTTAATTTCACCAAAAGTTATGAGATTTGATGAAAAATGAATTAAATTTAATGTAAATTTTTTAAAACACAAAATTACCTTTATGGAAAAATATAATTTATCAATATAAAAAATTATTTTAATAAAATGAAATACAAACATTTTCCTTTCACATTATTATTATTTTTATTCATCAAAACATAATGATAAGAAACTATATAATGTGAGTATTTGGAAAGTGAGTGGGGCTAAAATAGTCCACTAAGAGATAAAATAGTTAATAACACAAAATGTTGTTTGGTTTGGTTTTTTTGGAAAGATGTTTTGGAAAATTATTTTGAGAGAGAGTTTTGGAAAAAGTGATTGATTTGATGTGTATGAGAGAGAGATTTGTTTGAAAAACTTGTTTGGTTTACAAGTTTTGGGAAATTTTTTAAAAAAAATTTGTTTGGTTTGAGTTTTTCTGAAAACTCATATGTAGAGAAATTTTCCCAAAAATTTTTGGGAAATTCAAACCAAACAAACCCATAATCATTTCACTTTTTTCTTTCAAAACCATCAAATCAACTACAAAAAAAAGAAGATAAATTACTAATAAATTCTAATAGCTAATTCACCTAAAGTTCTATTGAAAATAAGTCATAATAAAATTATCGCTAAAAATAATTTTTTGTAACGATTTCTTGCATATGTAGTTAAAAATTAACAATTAGTGATTTTTTTGTCACGATTTTTATAAATTGTTGCCAAAACTTATAATTAGTGGCATTTTTTTGTAACGAATTTTTCAAACTATCTCTAAAACTGGAAAATTAGTGACTTTTTTTTGTGATAGTTTTTTTAAACTGTCGATAAAACTTATAATTAGTGACATTTTTTGTAATAAAATTTTTAAACTGTCGTTTAAAATTAACAATTAATGATATTTTTTAATAAGGTTTGATAAAAAATATTATTAATTAGCATCAGATTTATTAGACAATAAAAGTCCTCACATTAAAAAAAAATTAAATAACTAACTTTACAAATACAACTATTTTAAGAAAGGACCGTGCTATGTCCCCCGAAATTCCCCCCTAATCCCCCGAATTTTCAAACCAAGGCAAAAAAAAAAAAAAAAAAAAAATTCCCCAAAACGACGTCATTTTGAAAATTAGAAGGATTAAAGGGGGCTTTTTTAGGGCTCCAAATCATATTCCTTTAAGAAAATAACTAACTTTACAAATACAACTATTTTGAGAAGGCTAAAAAAAATAAAATAAAATAAAATTTCAAATAGATAACTAAAATAGGAAATTCCAATACAAACGTTGACAACCATCAATTTTTATTTTTTCTTTTTTCTTTTTTCTTTTTTCTCACCTAGCCTCATGATCCGGAGTGGTAGAGGACCAAAATCGATTTACAGACAGCCCTTCTTCTTTATCGGCGGTGATGAGATAAGGTCTCCGATACACACAAAACCCCCCTCAAACCCTAACACGTTTCGAATTCGATGCCAGAGGCCAAAAAAGGGTAAGTTCCTGTATCGATTGGCCATGTTTGCGTTTCATATGCTTTGTTTCGTTGCTTACAAAACCCTTAATTCGTTTTGAAATTTTGATAGATTGATTACTTTGTACTTCAGGCAACAAAAGTAGCACAATTTTTATTTTTATTTTTATTTTGCCTTCGATTTAGGCTTTCAATGCTGAAACAGTGGCAATTGACAATTGGCAATTGGGTATCTCATCCTTACAAAATGGGAGGGAGGATTAGATAACTTGAAAGAACTGGAAATAAGAACACCTTTGTAACATATATAGGTGAGGGTTAAACTGTTGCAACTGTTAATGTGGACATTTCTTTCATCAATGTTGGGATGCTCTTGTCTTATGCTGAATTGTCTTGCTTCAAATCCATTTTTTTAATCTATTGTGAATGCTGGTATCTTATCCTCTCAGTCTTGTAAATAATAACAATAAATAAATAAACTCTATATATCCTTAGCAATAGCGTATAAAGGTGTATGTAAGGTGGCACCATAGTGCAGAGGTTTGTAGATGAAGTCACAAACACAAAAATGACATCAGGGATTAGGAGAGGGACTGGATGAGAAGTGAAGCACCCCAATCAGAGAGAGAGAGAGAGAGAGAGGTGTGTGGGGGGTTTTCTTCTTGCTCTGTGCATCTTAGCTCAAATTAGATTAGTTTAGCTTGGCTTGGCTTGGCTTGGCTTGTCTTGTCAAGAGAAGAGGTATTAGTTATATTATACCCCCTATATATAGAGAGTAAAAGTAATTAATTATTGAACAACATCCTTTAGTGGGTACTAGATTCGCCGGGTGGGTGGTGAGTTGGCTAGGAATCCCAATGTATAGTGAGTTGGCCAATTCCCATGCGCTAAGAATTTTTGGGAATCTCGACAACTCATATGAGGTGTTCAATGGAGTACCGTAGTCCCACCACTAAATGGATTTTGTTTGAATGTTGCAACCTGTACTGAATGGCAAAGTCTCTCTGACAATTTTGCCTAAGGCAACTTATCTGCATGTTTAAAGTGTCATGGCGTAACCTTCATTTCTAGCCATCAAGCCATATAAACCCAAAATTTTGCGGTGTATGCCCGAGTCGTTCTCGTTGCACTGCATCATTCTTGATTTCTAGGCCTTGCCTTGTGGCCTAGGTTGGCAATACGAAGTGTCTGAGAGGAGTTTTGGTATACAAGATGGGTGTTCAGTTGCTCATGCATGTGTCAATCGAGATCTCACCACTGCTTGTGTCATTGGACATCGAGTGTAGTTAGAGATTCAATGCTGAGACACTTAACTCCTACAAATGACCTTTGCAAGATGTCAAGAAAACCCTGCCTAGACACTTGTTCAAATGTCAAGAAATCTTTGCTTGAGGCCGAAACCAAAGCACACATAGAGTTTCGTTGATTCTTGACGAGCTCGTTTAGTAATGCTCAACTCCTAGAGGATGTCAAGACTCGAGAATAAGATGGTTAGACTACATGTCTGCAACACACAAGAGTATTGATGATGGAGATTCTGGACTCCCTAAGGACTAAGTAGCACGAACATGACGTTGACACACTGACAAGTCGATTTTCAAAAAATGCATGACACGACATACTTGGGACACGTTAAATAGTTGTATTCTTATAAATTTGTTATATGTTAAATATATGAATAGTTGATTCAAAGGTAAGGAAAAAAACAACATAGCACTATATAAATTTAAAATTCATGTATCCCACAATGTAAACATCAAAATATTGTTCATGTAAAAATTTCAGTCTAAAGAATGTAAAATAGTTGTAGAATATAGAAATAAACATGATGTATTCATCTTATAGATATTTCAAAACATATTTAGAGTGAATAATTTGCATTCTAAAGAATTCAAAATATTTTTACTATGAAGAGATTCATTACATAGGTTGTGTTCGAAGGTTTTAAGAAGTGTCGTAGTGTTCGGAAAGTATCTGTAAAGTGTCCGGTGTTATGAATTTACATTTTTAATTAAGACATGTTGAAGAAGTGTCATACATGCTTTTTGGAGTGTCCGCGGAGTGTTGTGTACAGCATGGGTGTCTGACATGGTATACTTCCTCTATGGAAGTGCCCATTCTTTTTAGCCTAAGGATGTCAAGAATGCGATGTGATGTGATGTTCTTGTCAAGGGACACTTGAATGTTGGCGATGGAGATTGTTAACTCCTAGAGAATGTCAAGAATGGGATGTTTAAAACACGACACACATGAAGTGCAACCCTTGAATGATACTTTGGTTGTGGAGAGAGTTGGAGTTTGGAATGGACCAAACATACAAAATTCGAGAACCTGGCGAATGTGATGATGTGACGAATCCAATGAGGTATCTACAAAAGGTAATGCTAATGATGTTGGAGATAGAAGATGAATGTCTTAACCCTAAAACTTAGCTTTCCGATGAAAAGGAAAAATAAATGAATAAATAAAAAACGATGCCCAATTAGTACACATTAATTTGTGTTTCGGAGGGAAAAGATTGGATACACACTTAATCTTTGGCATAGTACACAAAGTGGTTGCCCCATGACTTGAACCCGTAACCTCAAGGTTATTAGGCCAAGGTTTTACCATTGAACTAATGGTAAAACCTTTAATGCAGACATAGTAGACTTCACAATTTTGTACCATAGTAAATGAAATATGAAATGGAAAACCTATGATGTGCCATATTTATAGGTATTTTTTAGGGAGAAACTGATGAAAACAAAGAAATGGAACAACAAAATATAGGTATGATATGTGTATGGAGAATATGAGTTTGCTATGTTATTAAAATCGTACAATTTGAGATTCAATTAATAATCTATGCAAAATTAATATGAATCTATGTGTGAATCTATTTTAGGAGTAAATGTATGGTGAATTGCTCAATTTGCAATCAATTCTTGATTCGATTAACTTTTTATGATTCATGCAATTCTGGAAACGATCGTCTCTGATATATTCCGACCATTTTTTACCTCTCTTTTCTTTTCTTCGTAAAATGACATAATACAACTTTGAAGAGTGTTTAGTACAAAAATAACTAATACCTATACATGATTTATTGTTAATAGGATCTAATCAAATCCAGTGAGATCCAACATGTTTTTAATCTTTTCTCTTAATGTTGTCCTAAAAAAAATCATAATATATCTGCACTCATGAGTTATTTATTGCTATTTTAGTGAAATAAATATAGTTCAATATTAGGAAAGTTAAAGTAACTTGCACCATGGATTCGGCACATCTCTTGCTATGAAGGAAATGTCTTCCCAATTGCAGTGTAAACTATTTTATATACACGTGCCAAAATCGATTTCTTTTATTTTTTTCCATATATACAATTGTTTAACATTATTTTTAGTAGTTTGTATTGAATCTTAACGATTCTTGATTTAATTTGAATCACAATTCGGATATTAGGATTTTGATTCACGATACGGTTCTCGAGTTGACAACTATGTGAGTTAGTGAGAAGTTATGCACCAAAAGTTTGATAACTTTTTATGCATTTATTTTTAGGTAAATGTTTGCATCAGCAATCATGAAACTGGAGTCATCAGATCCTTCTCTCTCTCTCTTTCTCTCTGACCTTGTTCATTGTCAGCTGAGGCTAATTATATATCTTTTGTACTATTTTGATGTTGAGTGCAGGTCTATGGAATGCATCACAAGTTCACAACGTCATCTGAACTAGTTCTGTCAGAGCTTTTATGGCTAATTTCTGGGTGAAACTGTTCAAAAGATTTGATATTGGATGGTGTCTTCAATTCATTGTGGTAAACTGAATGATATAGGACTGGTAGTTTTCGTCACTATAACCATTTTGTCTTAATGTCTGACGGTGTGAACATGGATGCATCTTCAGCACAAGAAAACAGCGAAACTAGACGAAGCTCAAGCCCTAGACAAACAACATCAATACAAGAACTTGAATTTGGCTCAAGAAGTTTGTTTGGTGAAGAAGCAGAAGAAAAGCATCCAATTGGCACTGAAAATGTAAACAAGGGATTGACAAAAGCCAGGGCTGCAGAATGTGACTATATTGGTATTGAACAATTTAAACCACTTTGTGAAGATCTGATAAAAAATTTGAGTTGTGAACAACTTGGACCACAACCAGAAGATGCCGCCATGAATTCTAACTCTGATCAGTTAGGTTTATTACCTGAAGATGTGGCTGGAAAAAATTTAAGTTCTAAACATGCTATGCCAGGACTCAATCATGAACTCGTTCCTGAAAGTGTAAATAGAGACACTTGGTTAGGAAAACAGAAAATTGGCACGGGAAACTTTCAAACTGGAACAGCTGAAACTGTGATGGTAAAATCCCATCCTTTCGGTTTTGAACAACCTGGCCCACCTTCTGTAGAAGCGACCAGAAATTCCAGTTGGGATCAACTGCGATCACCCCCAGAAGATGAGAGCAAAAAGTATCTGGAACAATTGGGGTTGCCACCAGAAGATAAGGCAGTGAATACTAGTCTTGAACATTTAGAACTGCCACGAGAAGATGCAACAAACAATCCTAGTAAATCAGTTGTGAGAACCTCTGGAAAATCAACCAAAGAGAAACATGCACTGAGATCTTCTGTAGGAAGTACTAGAGTTTTGCGTTCAAGGTTGCAAGAGAAATCTAAAGCTCCTGAGCCTAGTAATAATATGGCAGAACATGGTGATGGTGCTAATGGAGAAAAGAGAATGAAGAAGAGGAAGGAGAGACAGATGCAGAAAATTCCAGTTGATGAATTCTCAAGAATTAGAAAGCATTTGAGATACTTACTAAATCGAATGAGCTACGAGCAAATCTTGATTGATGCCTATTCTGGTGAAGGTTGGAAAGGACAAAGGTTTGTAGTCTATTGCTAATTTAGACTAAAGATTTTAAGGCAGTTTTTTTATTCTGGCACTGTTGCCTTCACTGTAGTGGCAAATGCATTTTTCATGAGTCTGATTGATCATATTCTTTTTCATGCTGACAATTTGATTGGATTCTGCAAAAATGGAACCTAAACTTCAAAATAATATTAATGTTTTAACAAAGATGTATAAGGGGTTGTTTGGTGCATCTGTTAAAACAAAGTGGTTGTTTGGCACGTGCTAAAACAACCTCATATTTCACGTTTTTTTGTAAAAAGTTGAAGTATACTAATCTAGCACTTCCCAAACAACCTCAAATTATAGTTTATAAATCAGAAGTTTTTAATCTGTTTGGTGCATCTGTTGGATTATAGATTTAAGTTTATGAGTAGTGTTTGGTAAATAAGTTGTGAAATAGTTTTTTGATGTATAAATGTCATGTTTACCCCTGTTAATTGTAAATTGAATTAACTTTTATTTTTTGTTATTCACTACTAATCCACATTTCCTATATAAAGGCCTCGTTTGGGAAGTGGCTATTTTAGTAGGCTATTTGGCTATTTTAGTAGGCTATTTTGGTTTTTGTGTTTGGGAAGATGAAATGAATTTTTAGTTGAGTTGTTGTATTGAAAAGTGTGTTGAAATGATGTTTGAATTTAAAATGACAAATTTGTCCCTAAATTATATTTTTTAATTGGATGTAAACAGGCAAAATGGTAATTTAACCCTTGATGTAACAATTTTCGGCTGTGATAGTGTAGGCACAGCCTACACTGTCTGGCTGCAGCCTATATATATATATATATTTTTAAGAAAACTGTGAACAGTATTGACTTTTGGGCTTATTTTGCATTTTAGGATATAATAGCCTGAACTCACCCTCCCCAAACAGCGCCAAAAAATAAAAAAAAATTTAATCCACAGTCCATTTGGGTCTTTTTCTATTTTCACCAAAAAAAAAAAAAAATCTAAGAATATAATTGTAAATTAACGTGCTCACAACATAAGTTAATAATTAGAAGCAGGGGGTGGGCAGCTTCTCAGAATAAACTTTTTTGGGTTAAAATAAGTTGCTAGAATAAGAAGCTGTTTGAAGTAAATTTAACCAAATAGTCCAAAATAGCTTTTCTAAAGCTAGAATCTATAAGTTGGCCACAAAAAGCCACACCAAACACCCCCAATGTATTGTATTAATTTATTATATTGTCTACTCTTATTATGTTTTATATTTTCTTCTTTATAGTCACGAACCCACAACCTTAGAGAGGATTGGAAAATGTTTGTTGGATGATTAGATTTCAGCATTAGTAGATATAATGTCAGAACACTTTTAATTAATTATTGTTAAAAAGGGTTGGACACTTACTGTGTTCATTTTTAGCCCAAGAGAGTCGGACAATGCTCCTATTTGGTGTTGGATGAGCACCAAGAAGTATTAACGAAGTTTCGAAAATTTTCTGTTGGTGTTTACATGTGTCTAACATGGAGACGACTCCTCTCCATACTAAGAATCATGAACACAGATACAAACACGGGTACGAACATGAGACACAGTGATTTTTAGAAAATTAAGTACGGACTGGGCGAGGATGTCATAATATATATATATATATATTTTACTATGCATATAAATATAAATTTAGGGCATAGAGATATGAGTCCCATCTTTATATATGTTGGTGTACTCCTTGTTGCATTCCCCTCTCTTTGTTTCCATACATTTTATTTTGACCCCAAATTAGATTTTTTAAATTATGAAAAAGAAACCCACAAAAGTGTCTTGATGAGTGTCCAGAAACACATGATGCACATGTCCATGAAGAGTCCCCAATGTATCCTGCAAAATTATAATAACTAGAACTGTAATTACACTAACCTCTATTGAGGGTTAGGGAAAATACATTGGGACCCACAACTTTGGCATGGTCACATTGGGCTTCCATAAGGTTTTAATTCGCATAACACTTGGCCCCCTTTTCTATTTTATCAGTAATTCATTAGTGATATGGATGAAGAATTAATGATGTTATCTCTTTTACACTAAATTGTATATTTTGCCTTGTTTATGCTTGTGTCTATACACCATTTGCATTAGCTCCGGTCGCTTTAGCCTTACTAAAAATGAGGTTGATGTAATTATGCTAAACTTGCGGGGCTTTATTGTATTTTTTCTAAACCTTAGGAGTGGTCAGTGTAATTTACTATAATTAAACAGATTGACACGCCACGTGGCATGTATGACCCATGAACACACATGTCCACGTACATTGTGTTGGTGCCCGACATGTGTCGGATGCTGACATGGAAAATGGAATGTATTTGCTTCCTAGTTTACATAAGTGTTTGTGCTACTTAGCATTTGTTGTATTGACCAATGTGTTGCGGGCTTCCATAGACCTCGTAATCATAACAATCAAGATGGTTGAAATCCAATATGATTGGTGTATCATAAGCTGATTGGTTTCGGGAGTGAAGAAATAACTTTTTTATATTAGGGTAAATTATAATGCACGCTCTGAGGTTTATTAAAAAAACAAATTCCCCCTTCACATTTGAGAAATTACATCCCACCCTTGAGATTTTCAATCACTTTCAACAAATGGCCCCCCTCCGTTAATCAACCTTTAAGTCTAGTATATGATGTAAGCAACAAATTTATTTATTTATTTCCAGAAATACCTATATTAACCTTTATGAAGTAATTACCCCCCTAGGAAAAAAAAAAAAACACTTTATCAATTTAACACTTTATTTTCTTTTTCCTATCTCACCTTCTTTATTCCCCATTTTCTCTCAGCAAGTAACATCACTTTGCTCAACCATTACACCACCCTCTCCCACTCTCGATAAGCACCACTGTCATTATTGTGTACATGCATTTGGTGTGTCGCTGAGGAGGATTGGAGAATATTATGGTGGTGTAGAAGAGAGGAATTTGGTGGCATGTGGATGAAAATGAGGGTAGAACGATAGTTTCATTTTGGTATTAAGAGGGTATTTGAGTAAATTTTTTATTTTTTTTTATTTTTTTTTTTAGGTTAGGACAGTTGCAAATTTTTTTTTAAACAAGGAGTTTTTTTTGTAAATTCCAGAACTTGAGGGGGAATTTGTATTTTTGACAAACCTCATGGGCTGTATTTGTAATTTACCCTGTATATTAATTCATTCTATTCATGTCGCTGCTTGTGGCTTAGTAGTGCTTTTATCTATTCACGAATTCCTTCCTAATTGTTGTTGCATGCTATTTTGGTAATTTTGCAGCCTAGAAAAAATAAAGCCAGAGAAGGAGCTTCAACGTGCCAAATCTGAAATTTTGCGCTGCAAATTAAAAATAAGAGATCTATTCCAACGTCTTGGTTTGTTGATTGCTGAAGGAAGGTTTCCAGAATCCTTGTTTGATTCTGAGGGACAGATTGACAGCGATGACGTAGGAGATGCCTTCTCATAACAAGCCATTTTTATGTTTGCATGGCACTTTCTAATTCAATATTATTTTTGGTTCTGATGGTGTTTGTTAGTACTTTTGGAGTGGCAGATGCTTATACCTCTATCTTCTTGTGCCAGATATTCTGTGCAAAATGTGGGTCTAGAGATTCGCCAGCTGATAATGATATCATACTCTGTGACGGTGCTTGTGAACGTGGTTTTCACCAGTTTTGTCTGGAACCACCATTGTTAAAAGAAGCCAGTATGTCCAAACTACTCACTTGATAGGACTAACCTTGATTTTTTGTTTCTCGACTTCCTTATTTTCTGTTCAGTTTTATGTCCATCTTTTTTTCTTTTTTTGTTGGTCCTAATTATATCTCCTCCACTTTATAGTTCCTCCTGGTGATGAGGGTTGGCTTTGCCCTGGATGTGATTGTAAGGTCGACTGCATCAACTTGCTTAATGATTTTCAAGGAACTAATGTTTCTATTCTGGACACCTGGGAGGTCAATTAAAAATTCTGGTCTGTACTATTGTCCCAGATTAATGGGTCTACTTATATGTTGCTTATTATGCTCTTCTCCATTCACAGAAGGTGTTCCCTGAGGTGGCAGTTGTAAATAAGCGATTTGATCGTGTTGGACTTGGATTTATGTCCGATGATTCTGAGGACAATGATTATGACCCAGATGCTTCAGAGTTGGATGAGAAAGTTGAGGGAGATGAATCAAGTTCTGACGAATCTGATTTCTATTCTGCTTCCGAAGACTTTGGGCCTTCACCAAATAACAAGCAGAACTTGGAGCATTCTTCTGATGATTCAGAGGATGATGATTATGATCCTACTGCTCTAGATCTCGATGAGCAGGTTAAGCAGGAAACTTCAAGTTCTGATTTTACGTCTGACTCTGAGGATTTTAGTGTTGCATTTGAAGACGAACTCATGTCTGCATTATCAGACCATACTGAGCCCTTCGGAGGCTCTGATGGAGAAAGATCTAAAGTTATTCGGAGGAAAAAACAATCTTTAAATACTGAGCTGTTATCTCTAATAGAGTCTAGTCCCAGCCAAGGGGATTCTGCACATAAATATTTAGCCGCCAAAAGATTTCAAATAAAATTAATTTTCATTTTCAGCGACTAAAACTTTTAGTCGCCCAAAGTATCATTTATTATTAGCTACTAAATATGCGGTGAACATCCTGGAATATTAGCAATGACCTTGTGCACAAGAACTTCAGCCTTGATCTAGTAGCAAAAAGCTACATTGTTAGTGTTGACGTGCTCTTTATGTCCCTGTGGCATCTTACCTCTTATTCTTTTCACATTTAAATCAACAATTGTCATGATGCTTGTTTTGCAGGGACTCATAAAATCCTTCAACGAAAATCATTATCCTGATCAATCTATGAAAGAAAAATTGGCTATGGAATTAGGAGTTATGGTTCATCAGGTTAGCAAATGGTTTGAAAATGCACGTTGGAAATTTTACCATCCATCACCTCAAATAAATATTTCAGAGCCCGGACCAAAAATGGTGACAGAAAACATTTCGTGTAATGGATTGAGCATGGTCAATTCATTGACTGAAGAAAGCAGCGGGCAGAGATCTACGACCCCAGGGGGTCACAAGAGAAAAAGTCAGTCATACGATCACCATGGATCAGAGTAAATTTTGAGTATTGAGGAGACATGTAAGCTGAGTGGACCAGTTGATTTACCAAAATCTCAACAAGCTCAAAAAAAGTGGCAGACATAACACAGAAATATGGAGATCACTTTCCATCAGTTACTTCTTGGAAGAAAGGAGCAACTGAAACAGAAGTCTTCCTCTTTCAGGTCAGTTCTTTGAAATTGTGCTCATATCCTCAGTTAGACTCAGAAACATTTTTTACACAAAGATCTTTGTCCCCAACTAACACTGCACATGCCAAAACCAACATCTGGGTGATGTATCTCATTGAGAAAGGTTCCCCAAACACTAGAAAGTGTTTCCATAACCTTGTCCTCTTATCCAACTGATTCTTCCATGCATGGATCGTGCATATTTACCTTCATTGTGACCTGAAACACATAATTGCCTTGGAAACGCAATGGACTCATTTAAACAAAATACCCATGGCTTCCAATTTTTTAATTATTTATTGTTTTCTAGGGTTCAAATTTTGTCTGGCACAATGGCCACGGGGCTAAATAACCTTTACATGACATGATGTGAAGGTTGAGAGTTAGAAGCTATGAGGGTGGTTGTGGAAGAACATTGTATGGAGCTATATTGGATTTATAAGTGATGATTGATTATTTTTTGGCTACATGTGTGCCTGTATTTTATATTTATTATTTGTGAAATACGTGAATGGAGTATACCAATTAAATGAAAATGTTCTATTGGTAGAATTTATTGTTATACTCAGTAAGTTCTTTTAGAAAAATTTGATAAATAAAAAAAGAACAATAGGATCCATTTGGTGTATTTTATGGGTTTGTTTATGGCTTTTTATTTTTTTGGAGTGTCTTAAAGTGTTTTGTATAGTTTATGAGGTAAAAATAACTTAAATACGATGAAAAATTAATTATTAGGGCCTTGTTTGGTAACACTTCCGTCTCCTTTTTTGTTTTCAGTTTTTTCTTTTTTCTTTTTTGGAAACTGGAAACAAAAACTTGTTTTGTATATTGTTTTTGTTTTAAAAAAAGTAAAATTCTTTCTAAATTTTTTATTTTTTTTTTTAAATAAAGAAAGTGTTTTTACTTGTTTTCAAGCAAGTTTTCATTCTCTTCTCCCTCTTCCGCCACCACCTAAATGATTCATGTGATTCAAGTGATGAAGATTGGATTGATGCTGGTGACATACCAAATAAGCGAAGGAAGAACAATACCAAGAAAGTTGCTTCAGCATTTCCCAGTGGAAGGACTCCAATTATAGAGGGGACAAATGCTAAGGATATGCAGCACAACCAGGAACAGAGTGAACATACCCCTACGAGAAGAGCGCTTAAGAATCTAGATGTTGAGGGCACATATAATTCTCCTGCTAAATCACATAAAGGCTTCTCTGAATGTGGTTCTAGAGGTAGTACCACTAAAAGATCATGTAGAAGACTTGGAGAAGCTGTAACTCAGGTATCGTGTGGTTGTCAATTAATTTTACTAATCTAGATGGTAGTCTGTATATAGAATCAACATTTTCCTGTCCACTCAACTGTAAATTGGGTTATTTTGTGACTACTATTTCAATTTCTGCAATTAATATTTATATAACATCTGAGAAAAACTAATGCTTCATCACGAGCCAGCAAATCTTATTAGGCTGCGGTGAACATCCTGGAATATTAGCAATGACCTTGTGCACAAGAACTTCAGCCTTGATCTAGTAGCAAAAAGCTACATTGTTAGTGTTGACGTGCTCTTTATGTCCCTGAGGCATCTTACCTCTTATTCTTTTCACATTTAAATCAACAATTGTCATGATGCTTGTTTTGCAGGGACTCATAAAATCCTTCAACGAAAATCATTATCCCGATCAATCTATGAAAGAAAAATTGGCTATGGAATTAGGAGTTATGGTTCATCAGGTTAGCAAATGGTTTGAAAATGCACGTTGGAAATTTTACCATCCATCACCTCAAATAAATATTTCAGAGCCCGGACCAAAAATGGTGACAGAAAACATTTCGTGTAATGGATTGAGCATGGTCAATTCATTGACTGAAGAAAGCAGCGGGCAGAGATCTACGACCCCAGGGGGTCACAAGAGAAAAAGTCAGTCATACGATCACCATGGATCAGAGTAAATTTTGAGTATTGAGGAGACATGTAAGCTGAGTGGACCAGTTGATTTACCAAAATCTCAACAAGCTCAAAAAAAGTGGCAGACATAACACAGAAATATGGAGATCACTTTCCATCAGTTACTCCTTGGAAGAAAGGAGCAACTGAAACAGAAGTCTTCCTCTTTCAGGTCAGTGCTTTGAAATTGTGCTCGTATCCTCAGTTAGACTCGGAAACATTTTTTACGCAAAGATCTTTGTCCCCAACTAACACTGCACATGCCAAAACCAACATCTGGGTGATGTATCTCATTGAGAAAGGTTCCCCAAACACTAGAAAGTGTTTCCATAACCTTGTCCTCTTATCCAACTGATTCTTCCATGCATGGATCGTGCATATTTACCTTCATTGTGACCTGAAACACATAATTGCCTTGGAAACGCAATGGACTCATTTAAACAAAATACCCATGGCTTCCAATTTTTTAATTATTTATTGTTTTCTAGGGTTCAAATTTTGTCTGGCACAATGGCCACGGGGCTAAATAACCTTTACATGACATGATGTGAAGGTTGAGAGTTAGAAGCTATGAGGGTGGTTGTGGAAGAACATTGTATGGAGCTATATTGGATTTATAAGTGATGATTGATTATTTTTTGGCTACATGTGTGCCTGTATTTTATATTTATTATTTGTGAAATACGTGAATGGAGTATACCAATTAAATGAAAATGTTCTATTGGTAGAATTTATTGTTATACTCAGTAAGTTCTTTTAGAAAAATTTGATAAATAAAAAAAGAACAATAGGATCCATTTGGTGTATTTTATGGGTTTGTTTATGGCTTTTTATTTTTTTGGAGTGTCTTAAAGTGTTTTGTATAGTTTATGAGGTAAAAATAACTTAAATACGATGAAAAATTAATTATTAGGGCCTTGTTTGGTAACACTTCCGTCTCCTTTTTTGTTTTCAGTTTTTTCTTTTTTCTTTTTTGGAAACTGGAAACAAAAACTTGTTTTGTATATTGTTTTTGTTTTAAAAAAAGTAAAATTCTTTCTAAATTTTTTATTTTATTTTTTTAAATAAAGAAAGTGTTTTTACTTGTTTTCAAGCAAGTTTTCATTCTCTTCTCCCTCTTCCGCCACCACCTCACACACGACCTTCAGCACCGTGGATTGCTAGTCGGCCGACTATCAACTACCTCTGACGAACAACCAGCAAGCTCTAACACCTTCCGGCAATTGGCAAGCTCCTACAAATGACGGCCACCTTCCAACAAATGACTAGTCACACTGCCAATGACCTCTGCTCTGCAGAATACTCTAGCGACTGCCTTCGGCCACCCCATTGCTGATAGCCAAATCCACCAGCCATCTCCAGCAACTCACCAAACATTTTTCTTTATGGTCGGCCGACTATCAACTACCTCTGACGAACAACCAGCAAGCTCTAACACCTTCCGGCAATTGGCAAGCTCCTACAATCTTTGGCCACCTTCCAACAAATGACTAGTCACACTGCCAATGACCTCTGCTCTGCAGAATACTCTAGCGACTGCCTTCGGCCACCCCATTGCCGATAGCCAAATCCACCAGCCATCTCCAGCAACTCACCAAACATTTTTCTTTATTTTTGTTTCCATTTATTTTATGAACATTTTTGTATACCAAACAAGTTTTATTTTTACTTTTACAAAAAGAAAAACAAATACTAACGGGTCGTTTGCTAAATCTTTCGTTTTCATTTTTTTGAAAATTGAAAACGAAAACTTGTTTGGTATATTTTTCGTTTCAAAAAAATTGAATTGATTCTAAAATTTTTAAGTTCTTTGGAAACTAAGAAAAGGTGCTTTCATTTGGTTTAATTTTGACTCACTCCTCCCTCACCCACCACCACCCACTGCTCGTGGTTGGTCAGCTGATTTCCGGCGTGCTCTGGCCAACCACCTGTGACCCTCCAGTGGCTGGCTGATCATCGTTGTGGCCTCCAGCGACGCTTTGGCCAACACCTCCAACAACTCATTAAACATGTTTCTCTATTTTTATTTTCATTTTCATTCGTTTTAAAAACATCTTTGTTCACCAAACAAGTTTTTATTTTTTTATTTTTGTTCTTTACAAAAAAGATGAAAACCTATTTGTTGTTTGTTGTTTTTTATAAATAAAAAACTGACTACATTATCAACGGCAAGTAATTGAGGACAGGATGCTTTTAACTGTTGTGGTTAGATTATCATATTTTAGTTTGTCATAAGCTGCAACAAATGGGAAATGCCATTTAGTTGTCTTAGGCCTTTATCCAAGTAGCCCCAAATAGCTATATTCTGTAGTAAGAGCCGGTGATTTGTCCATAATTAACATGCAGTGCTCAAATACTTGTACATCATCATATTGAAATTATATTTTTGTCTGGTTAAACAAATCTTAGCACTCTGATAACTTTTATATCTTGTGTCAGTTCCATGATTGTGGTCTTGCTCATGTCTAAGACGACTTCAATGATATGGATCATTTTTAAGCAATAACCCTCAGGAGATTTTTACTCTGGTTGACCACCGCCAAAGAACTCCACTAGTGATTTTTTCATATTTTTTTAGGTCCGTTTAGTCTAGAAGGATTCAAAAAGTAAATTTTTTTTTTTGAAAAAATCTAAAGTTAACTAAAAATAAAAAAAATAAGTCAATTTTTTTAGTTTTTTTAATCTTTAGTGGAGTTCTCTCTCTCTCTCTGGTCTTGCTCATGTCTAAGACGACTTCAATGATATGGATCATTTTTAAGCAATATCCCTCAGGAGATTTTTACTCTGGTTGACCACCGCCAAAGAACTCCACTAGTGATTTTTTTATATTTTTTTAGGTCCGTTTAGTCTAGAAAGATTCAAAAAGTAATTTTTTTTTTTTGAAAAAATCTAAAGAAAGTTAACTAAAAATAAAAAAATAAGTCAATTTTTTTAGTTTTTTTAATCTTTAGTGGAGTTCTCTCTCTCTCTCTTTTTAAGTTCATTTAGTGAAGAATTTTTTGAATTAATGTGTGGTGCTACATCTGTGAAAGTGGGGTTGACCTTTAGCTTTGGCTTATCTTTGCAGGGATTCGCTGTTGATGCTTGCAGTTGCTCGTAGACGTCGTGCAGTTGGTGCTTGCCTTTCTTTTTTCAGTTTTAGATTATTATAGTCTTTTCCATGTCTTTTAGTTTATGTGTAAGTGGAAACTCTATGTTCCCCACCTTTATTTCTGAAGTTCTTATTTATCCTCAAAAAATATTGATTAAGGAATGTAAGTTCAAAAACTGAGGTGGTGGTTTTTTTTTTCGGCCTTCGAAGGTTATGAAAGTAAATCCAAGCATGCTAAAAAGGATTGAATAATGTTTACAAATTGGATTAAGCTAAACATTTATCAAGCGATTGTATTAATGTTCTTTTTTCCTCAATGAAGAGAAATTAATTCAGTTATTAAGACAGAACCCATTTGCAAGGAGAAATGTTGAATAAAATAAGAAAAGAAATATAGAGAATTGAAGAAGGAAATCAATCAAATAAATAATTCGGTTACTGGTAAAGAGAAGTACATTACCTTTAATCTACTTCTACTGCTCAAAAGAAAATTACAAGTAATAAAAGACTTCGTACATGAACTAAAAAGGAAGTGTTGTAAAGGCCAAATGACTATGGGATACAACTACTCTCATGCTAAAGGGGGAAAAAAACCAGAAAGTAAGAACTAAGAGATATGAAACATGTTGGGTTTGATGATTTGTCGAGGCTTTTTCTCTTCAATTTTTCTATTATTTATAGATTTCCCAGTAACTTTAAGTCCTCTATTACTGTTGAAGGGCTGGAACTATCTCCCACGTCCTCCTTCTTGCTTGTTTAATTTTGACATGTGCCTCCCTCCTTTATTTGAATTTTAAATTGCTTGATAACCGTTGAGATACTAATCATCATTGCCACCTCATCTTCCTACCTGAATTCGAATGCTGAGTTGTTTCCTTTATACTTCTTCCATGTGTATTCAAGATGCACCCATGTATTTTGTATAATGGGTTGCCTTGTTGTGCCCTTCTTTTATTGGTTGGTTTAATTTTGGTGCCAACAGATGGCAAATTTACTGTATTGTTAAGCTCTCTCTGAATTAACTTACCATGTGTTTGAATCTTGGAAGTTGTAAATGCAGAACTATAAATCCAGATGTCAATTACTACTAGCAATACTTTGTCTTACCATTTGTGGCTTGCAGATGGTTTAAGTATTCGAGATTTATCTTCGAGTAGTGGGTTCAGTATGATCTTACTGGATTTCTTATTATCAGAAAATAAGTATTCAAGATTTATCTTGGAGTGGTGGGTTCAATATAGTCTTATTTAACAGTCAAAAAATGAAGGAAAAAAAAACTTTTATTTCATTCACTTTTTTCTTTTTCACAAATTTCTCTATAAATTCAAATTCACAATCTGACTGTTCAAGAGATTCTTAACTCTTTTTTTTTTTCAGTGTCTTCCAAGTTTGGGTTTAGGGAAAGTTCCAAGGCTGGCGCTGGATTGATATTGGTACTGATTATTTGATTGTTGATGTTATTAAGTTTGTTTCTTTCATAATTATTATAAGTTTTTTGGTAAAGTCATATTTATTATGATTGAGTTCATGGGTTGGTGTTATTGATCTTTGTCAGCGATTAACTTTTCCTCTTATGCTTTTTCACTTTACCCTGTCGTATATGTCTCTGCACATGACTCTTGTCATTTGATGTTAATTACCAAACTTAATTCTTGTGTTTTGTGAATTAAAACATATATTCACATTTTTCATCCAAATTAATGGGATACTTCAAATGGCAGCGGTTTTGTGCGCATGAACTATAAAATGAAGGGTTTAGATCAGAGAGGAAGAACATAAGTGCATTTATGTCAATTTACAAAGTGCTGTTAACATAAGTCAGTGGTGCATTTTAATCCATAAATGATAGGGGTTAAGTGGTTATTTTCAAATGATTGATTGTTATGTGCCTATGGCCTATACTGTAGGAGTAAAGTGAAATTTGTCCCTCTTTCTATTTGTTAAGTTGGTCTCCAAAGCATTATTTTATGCGGAGGTGATAATTGTTGAGGTACTGTAGTAGTCTTGGTTAATCGCATTCTTGACTTTTTTTGTAAATAATCTAAGATGCTAGATCAAGGAATAGATTCTGGTTCTTGCCGAATGAAAATTTCTAACTAATGGATGTTGCATAATGTATTGGCATTTATTTGGTTCTAGAATGATTTAGATGTTTTGGGAGTAATTTGGGGAGGAGTCCGTAATGAAATTCACAATTCAAAAAATAAATAAATAAATAAATAAGAGAGATTTTAAACAGATATGGTTAGCTAATCATTAGTGAACTATTATTAATGCTCCAAATTCTTTCTTGTCATTTGTAACCCGTCATGGTATGATTATAGTCAATACCCTGACTACTGGTACAATAATTATATTTGTGTTCCATTAGTATTTAAGCATACATGACTCCTTTTTATGTCATTTTAGTTTTCTTGACTGATGCTTGTTACGCAATACGTCATTTAATACAAAACTCCTTTTTTCTTTGTTTATTTGTTTTTAAAATTTTCATCTCTTGATTTGTAGTTTTCTTGACTAATGCTTGTTATGCAATATGTCATTTAATACAAAACTTATGTTTTCTCTGTTTATTTGTTTTAAAAATTTTTCATCTCTTGATCCAACTCATGTGCTGTCCCGTATGCTGGAACTGTAGTCATGCATAAGGCCTTAATTTTTTGCTAGTTGAATACAATACTTGATTTGCTTGCCAGTGGGAGCATAAGCTTCAGACATCTCACTTTCCAGAGATGGTTTTTGGGGACAGTTTTTTGGTTCTTGAACATGTCAACAGTGGCATTAAGATTCAATTTGATACATTTGAATCATTTGATGCTCCAACTGCCTGGAGCCAGGAAGCATTACCACCAGTCGAATTTCCTGCGGATGCAAAATCGAAATTCAGAAGGTATGCTTGGAACTGTCTGTTCTTTCTTGTTTTGTTAGCACCATATCAAGAAGTTAATCATAAGTACCGTGTACCCAATATCCGTCACGCCCGTACTCTCTACGACTAAGCTTGTGTTGCTCCGAATGGCATCGTACTACTTGAAAGCACAACTTAGGTGAGCTGATTGGCGGGTGTTGTGCTAGTAAAGCCCTCCGACGGTCAAGTTAGCACCCAAAGAAGATCAAAGGAATGTAGAGAGAGTGAGAGTGAAAAATTGCAGACCTCTTCCTCAGTGGAGTCATGCGCCTTATATAGGCCTTTCCCTTGTTGTCTAAGATTGTGCGCACACTACTTCCTTCATCCTTTGCTGGATGCGTGGATGTACTGCCCTCTTCTTTCCTTACATGTGTGTGCGTCAATACTGGCAAACAGCATTGGCAAAACTGCCAAATGGTATTGACACGTACTTTGAGCGGGTTCTTTCCCTCACGCTTCTATTGGGCCACGTGGTATACGGTAACTAAGCTATTTTTGATGGGGCTAACTCCAACCGGTCTAACCCAAACCATTCTTCATGGCCAAGCTAACTTTGGCCGGTTCGCTCTCGGAGGGCTTCACTAGCCCGGCTCGCTATGTTCAATTCGGTTGAGCTCCTTTTGCTCGTTGCTCGGACAAACTCCGTGCAACTCCTTAACTTGACTGAAACTCATAGCTCGGTCAAGAGTCGTGTCCCCATTCCGCCTTAGCCCGGCCCATATCCGAGGCCCGGGCTTAGCTCGGCTGGAATCCCTTGCCCGGTATATCTCTAATCGCGGGCTCAGTCTGGCCTACGATCCAAGCTCATCATCCGGCTTGGCCCAACATCCGAGATTCATGTTAGCCCGGTTTAACGGTCACAAACGAAGGTCCATACAAGGTTTAGATCGGCCTATTTGTTCGGCACAAATACCCCTCTCATACCGCATGGATTTTGGAATTGTATTGAATAATATTGAATCCAACTCCTGAGGCAGAGAATTAGGTCCAGAAACTTTAGTTCCTTTGGAAACTAATTCATTCATTCAGAACTTCCATGTGGGATGCAATTTAATTGCCAAGTTAAAAGAGAATTATGTCAGGAAGAAGAAAAGCATTGCAAAGTTATGTCAATAGTGGACCCTTTTTGTTCCTCTTTAAGGATACTTGGTAATGAAGCTTCAAGCATAAGAGGGAAAGATTTCAATGGTAAAGAAGAACTACTCTTGGCATTAAGTTCATTACTGTTGGTACCTAACCTTGGTAGGCTGCCTATGTGAGATAGGCATCCTTTTTAACATGCCACAAGCCAAAGAAGGCCAGCTAATATTGATTTGACTTTATTCTTGCCCATGTATAAGGTTGCTTATGTGAAAGTCACTTCCCTATATCGACATATGAAGGATCCAACTGCAATGTATATCAGCTTCACAATTGGTGGTTGTTTTGTTATATCCCATGTGAACATTAGTAATTTGTAAGCATTTAGGACATGGACTCTGTAGAAAGAAGGAACATGTAATTTTAGATAGCTGCTTAATGGTCATCCTATGGATGTTCTGCAAGGAGAGATGTGAGAAGGTTTTGAACATAAAGCACTTCGTCAATGCCCTCTTTGATTAGTTATCTGCCAGTTTCTTTGTTCCCTGTTGATTCTTGAAGGAGCATAAGTGATATTTTCTCTTTCCTTTTTGTTGTTCTTAAATTTTTGGGTAAATTACACCATTAGTCCTTGTAGTTTAAGTGAAGTGTCACTATAGTCCCCATAGTTTCAGTTGCAACAATTTGAACACTTTCAATTTTGTTGCAATGTGGTCTCTCCATCATGAGTTGCTAATAATTTGAACGGAAAAGTATCACGTGCAAAACTAGAAGGTCCAAATTGGAATTCAAAAGAAACTATAGGGACCACCGGTGTAATTTATTCAATATACCACTGGTTCCTATAATTTGTTTTGAATTCCACTTTAGTCCCTCTAGTTTTGTGCGTGATTTTTTTCCGTTGCAATTCTCATGGTAAGTGAGGGTTCATATTGAAACTATGATGACCAAAGTGAAATTTTGCTCAAATTAGAGGGACCAATGGTGTAGTTTACTATTTAATCAAATATCTATGTTACAATTTACCAAGACTCAGGTATGAGTGTTGGACTCAGATACATGTCCAAATGTTGGATTCACATATTCTTCCAATTATCAAGTACGATGACTCGGCTAAAAAGTGTCCAAAAAGTGGATACAGATAAGGGGATATGGCATATAAAGCATTAAACAATTATATTTTCGAACACACGTAATTAATTAGTAAGCAATTTAATGTCATTTTCTTGAATTTTGAGACTAATAAGCTAATAATTTAATCTCATTATTCAACAATTTGAGTTTTTTTCCCCCCTCTATGTAATTATATGCATTTAGTTAATTAAGAAATTCTGTAATTAATGTCAATTGGCCAACTAAAGAAAACTTGTAATTTATATTGAAGGAAACTTGTACTTGACATGGAACCGATTTCAAAGAAACTTCTAAGTTGTGTATTTAATGCCAAATCGGTGGCTTTTGGTATTATTCACTAAAAGTCAACGAACCTTTTTGTACCGCCTTATGTACAATCCACACAAGAAACCCTCGTTTAAAACTCTACAATCCTTTCTTCTTCCAATACAATGATTCTCTGCAACCTTTCAAATCTCTCCGTCAAAATGAAAACCGTTCAAATCTCACCTCTCACAAAGGTTCATGATCTATGCGTTCATCTACCATGAGTGCTTGATTAGAGAGACAGAGACAAAGAGAGAAGATTGAAGGCAATGGGGGCTCGATTTGGGCTGGGCAACGAGGTGTGACAAACGAAGAGCAAACAAGGTCTTAGGGCTTCGATCTATTTTGATGGTGAAAGGGTTCAATCTTGGAGGTGAACGATTTTGTAACCTGTAACCTTTCAAATCTCTCTGTAAAAAAGAAAACCTTTAAAATCTCATTTGTTATAAAGGTTCGTGATCTATGCATTTAGCTGTCATGAGTGCTTGATTAGAGAGAGAGAGAGAGAGAAGATTGAAGGTGATAAGCGCTCAATCTGGGTTGGACAACGAGGAGTGACGAACTAAGAGGAGACAAGGTCTTAGGGCTCCAATTTATTTTGATAGCGAAAGGGCTCGATCTTGGCGGTGACAACAAGAGCAAAGGGAGAGTAGGCGAAGGTGATGCCAGATCTCTTTTTTGTTGAAGCTCCTCATCGCCAATAATTGTAAGTAATTTATTTTGTTTCCCCTGTGCATGCTCATTTTGTTCGTCTGGTCAACCATGTCTGAGATGAAAGTGCCTCATTTGACACAGATCTCGTACTCGCACTTGCACCCATGTCATGTCGTGTCGTGTTGAAATGGGTACTTTCCCGTAAAGTGTCAAGTTCATGTAGCACAGTCTAATTTGACCATGGTTATCAAAATATTGATCTGGATCGTAGGATCTTACGATTCTACGACCCCAATTGGGCTGAACGATCCATATCACACTAGGATCTTAAAATTTGTAAGATCTTAAAGTGATTACGATACTAGTTATAAAATCATGTGGAATTGCACTACGATCCTGATCCTATCAAATTTTTTTCTTATTATTTATTCTTTAAATATTTATATGTATATATGTGTATCTATATTAAAAAATTTAACTATCGAACCCTAATGCGAAATCTAAAGTGCTCCATTCTTGTTTCAGTCACCCAAATTCAGCCTTTTGTACCGTTGCATATCTTTGTCTATATGCCCGTTGGAATCTCCATCTATAATTATCTTCTCTCTTCCAGGTATGTGTTGCATTAACTCAAACATTTGATCCAAAAATTGTCCTTTTTCACAAATTCATCTAATCCTAGTTGTGAGTGTATTTTTTTTTGTTAATTATTTATATTGTTTGGATCTGAATTCTGAATGTGGTTGTGTTTTGGATTGATACAACAATTACATTGTTGTTTATTAAAAAAACTAGTCCTTTACTGAAACTACCTTATTTTTGTCTACTCTATTTGCACAATCTTTTTAGTTGATAGTTGTTTACACTGAAGAAGTGTACTGAAAGAAAGGAAATGAATTAGTTATTAATAGAAGTTTCATTTATTCAATGACTAGAATTAGACAGGGATATATTTTATGGGAATTTGTTTGATGTTTTTAATGACTGATAGCTTTCTTAAATTCAGATGCATCAATGTTAAAATGTGTTTGGCTTTGAAAAGTTTTGATATATTGGTATGGTTGATGTGATGTTTAGATCTCCACCTCTAAACACTACATTCATTGGTCTGGTTAATGTGACATTTAGATCTCCGCCACTAAGAACATGAAATTTCGTAAATTTCCCTCAAAGTCAATAAGACACAAGGAAGCATAAACAAAACTAAATTAGCAGAATGCTTACCTTGATAAGCATTAAATGAGGCTTGATTCAATCAGAAGCTTCATCAACTAGGCTACAAATGGGCCTAATTTTCAGGAGTCATCTGATCCGGTTCTTATTTTTCTTGAGTCATCAGATCCTACTCTCTCTCTCTCTCTCTCTCTGAGCCTGTTCATTGTTGGCCAAGGTTAATTATATATTTTTTGTACTATTTTGATGTTGAGTGCAGATCTATGGAATGCATTACAAGTTCACAACTTCGTCAGAACTAGTTCTGTCAGAGCTTTTACGGTTAATTTTTGGGTGAAACTGTTCAAAAGATTTGATATTGACTGGTGTCTTTCAATTCATTGTGGTAAACTGAATGGTATAGGATTGGAAAATGTTTGTCACTATAAGCATTTTGTCTTAATGTCTGACGGTGTGAACATGGATGCATCTTCAGCACAAGAAAACAGTGAAACTAGCCAAAGCTCAAGCCCTAGACAAACAACATCAATACAAGAACTTGAATTTTGCTGCAAAACTTTGTTTGGTGAAGCAACAGAAGAACATCCAATTGGCACTGAAAATGTACACAAGGGATCGACAAAAGCCAGGGCTGCAGAATGTGAATATATTGGTATTGAACAATTTGAACCACTTAATGAAGATCTGACACTATATTTGAGTTGTGAACAACTTGGACAACAACTTGAAGATGCCAGCATGTATTCTAATTCTAATCAGTTAGGTTTATTACCTGAAGATGCCGCTGGAAAAAATTTAAGTACTAAGCAAACTATGCCGGAACTCAATCATGAACTCGTTCCTGGAAGTGTAAATAAGGACATTTGGGTAGAAAAATGGAAAACTGGCACTGTAAACTTTCAAAATGTACCAGCTGAAATTGTGACGGTAGAATCCCATACTTTCGGTTTTGAACAACCTGGCCGACCTTCTGAAGAACTGACCAGAAATTCCAGTTGGGAACAATTGCAACCACCCCAAGAAGATGAGAGAAAAAATTATCTGGAACAATTGGGAGTGCCACCAGAAGATAAAGTCGTGAATACTAGTCTTGAACAATTAGAAATGCCACCAGACGATGCAACGAACAATCCTAGTAAATCAGGAGGGAGAACCTCTGGAAAATCAACAAAAGAGAAACATGCACTGAGATCTTCTGTAGGCAGTACTAGAGTTTTGCGTTCAAGGTTGCAAGAGAAATCTAAAGCTCCGGAGGCAAGTAATAATATGGAAGAGAAGAAGAAACAGATGAAGAAAATTACACTTGATGAATTCTCAAGACTTAGAAATCGTTTGAGATACTTGCTGGATCGAATAGGCTACCAGCAAACCTTGATTGATGCCTATTCTGGTAAAGATTGGAGAGGACAAAGGTTTGTAGTCTATTGCTAATTTTGACTAAAGATCTTAAGGCATTTTTTTTATTCCGGCACTGCTGCTGTCATTGTAGTGACAGATGCATATTTTTCACGAGTATGATTGAACATATTCTTTTTCATGCTGATAATTTCTTTGATTGGATTCTGCAAAATGGAACCTAAAGTTGAAAATAATATGAACTTTTATTTACTTCTATTATATGTGTGTGTATATATATATGAACTTTTTGAGAAATGGATGACTCTGACTATTTTTGTAAATTTTGCGATTTCAATTACACAACAAGGAAGTTGAAAAAAATATGTATTGTATTCATTCGTTATATTGTCTACTCTTATTATGTTTTGTATTTTCTTTTTTATAGTCACAGACTCATAGCCTTTGAGAGGATTGGAAAATTTTTGTTGGATGATTGGATTGTGGCACTAGTAGATATAAACCAAATCAAGCCTTAAGTCCCATCAAATGAGGTCGACTACATGAAACCTTCTTCTCCACGGGGCCCTATCAAAGGCTATTTCGTTAGTCAAATTAAGTAGATCCATGTCTCTATTTACCACGCTAGCCAACGTTAATCTTGGCCTACCCCGTTCCCTAACATTCCCATCTACCGTTACAGTATCGCATCTCTTCACTACTGCCTCTATTGGTTTCCGTTAAATGTGACCAAACCATCTCAATCGATTCTCTCTCAACTTATCTTCTATAGGTGCTACTTCTACCCATTCCCGAATATACTCATTCCTAATTTTGTGTGGTATAGTCTTGCCACACATCCACTTGAGTATCCTCATCTCAGCCACACTCATCTTATCTACATGTTGTTTCTTGGTTTCCCAACACTCCGTCCCATACAGCATTGCTGATCTAATAGTCATTTTATAGAATTTACCTTTTAGTCTAGTGGGTATTCGTTTATTGCACAAACGCACTTCTCCATTTACACCATCCTGCCTTAATCCTATAGGCCACATCTGTATCAATCTCCCCCGCTATTGTGATAATCGACCCTAAATAACGAAAATATTCACTCTTAGACAGTTCTTGGTTCTCAATTTTCACTTCTCCTCTACTTTCATTGTTACTGTTACTAAATTTACACTCCATGTACTTTGTCGTAGTTCTGCTTATCCGGAATCCTTTAGATTCAAGAGTTTTTCTCCAAATCTCCAACTTTGTATTAACTCTTTCTCTAGTCTCATCCATTAGCACAATATCGTTTGCAAAAAGCATACACCACGGCACGTCATCCTGAATATTTCTTGTCAACTCATTCATAACTAAAGCAAAACGATAAAGACTTAAGGTAGATCCTTGATGTAACCCTACAATGATAGAGAATTCATTTGTCTCTCCAGCAGGCGATCTAATAGTGGTCACTACCCCTTCATACATATCCCTAATCACATCAATGTAACCTTTTGTCACCCCTTTCTTCTCTAACAACCACCATATTACATCTCAGGGCACTCTATTATATGCTTTCTCAAGGTCGATAAACACCATATGAATATCTCTTTTCTTTTTTTTGTACTTTTCTATTACTCTCCTTAAAAGATAAATCGCTTCCATTGTTGACCTGTCAGGCATAAACTCAAATTGACTCTCTGACTCCTCTCTTATATCTCGCAATCGACGTTCCATCACCCTCTCCCACACTTTCGTTAAATGACACATTAGCTTGATTTATGGCACTAGTAGATATAATGTCAATTTTTTTTTAATTGATCATTGTTAAAAGGGAGATTTAGGCCTCATTTGGGAATAGGCTAATTTAGTAACTTTTTTGGCTATTTGGCTAAAATCTAAGCAAAAAAAAACTAGTGTGTTTGGGATGATTTTTTAGCTTTTTATGAAAAGATGTACAAAAAGTAGAGAGAAAAGAGAATCTTTTACTTTTTGGTATGGGTTGTTGGCTTTTTGGCCTTTTAAGTAACTTTTTCACTTTTGGCTTTTGGGCTAAATCGGCTAGTCCCCAAACGAGGCCTTATTTATAAATCCCATTTAGTAGACTTATAGCCCAATAAGTCTATGAAGTTTTTTAATGTTCCATCAAATCCCATATATTTAGACTTATATTCCAATAGGTTATTTTTCCCATATTAGAAGTATTATGTGGATTATTTTACCCTTATAGGCTTTTATTATAATATATATATATATATATATTATACCATATATCTAGGAGAGAGAATATCAATTATTAGATATATTTTATTTATGATATATATAAAACATTATATATAGAATATAGAAGTTAATTATTCTTAGTATTTTCTTTGTCTCAATGTGAGGGATTCACTTAATCAAAGATCTTCCTTCACTATTATTTTGCATTAAGATCCTGTCATAGAAAAACATTTGGAAGTGAATGTTAGTTGTAGACCGATAATAGAAATGATGATGGACTCGCAACAAAGATGATGGTAACCGGCGATGAACAATTATTATTTTTGTCACTATTACACATAAACCGTATTCTCTTCGTCGATTTGTGTAGCCACTAGTATTGTGTAGTTTATTCAGTGGTATTATATCAGTGTTGATTATATATAATTTTTTCTAAAACGGTGCGTCAATATATATGAACTATTTGATGGTTTTTTGTATATTGTTTGTTACTATGTTTGTTGTTTGAATAATATTTTTTGTTGCCATTAAACAATTGGAATAGTCAATTTTTTTTTTTTCTTTCAGTTTTGTTTCATGTTTTCATATTGCAGTGTGAATGTTCACATTGGTATGAATTTAATTTTTTTAAGGCTAGTTGTATGTTAATTGTAAATTGTGAACATTCACATTGTAGTTTGGTACGCGTTTTTTTTAAAAAAAAATTCGAAAGTTAATTGTATGTTTGCTGTTTTTGTTACTATGTGTGTTGGTTGAATAATCATTTTTGTTATCATTGAACAATCGAAATATTAGATTTTTACTTTTTTCAACTTTGTTTTATGTTTTCACATTGCAGTGTAAATGTTCACATTAATATGAGTTTATTTTTTTTTAAGGTTGGTTGTATGTTAATTGTAAATTGTGAACGTTTACATTGTATTTTGGTATGAGTTTTGTTTTTTCGATAGTTGTATGTTTGTTGTTTTTGTTACTATGTTTGTTGGTTAAACAATCATTTTTGTTACCATTGAACAATCGAAATAGTCGATTTTCAATTTTGTTTTATGTTTTCACATTGTAGTGTAAATGTTCAAATTTGTATAGGTTTTTTTTTTTTTTTTTAAGGCTAGTTGTATGTTAATTGTAAACTGTGAATATTCGCATTGTATTTTTATTTGAGTGTTGCTTTTTCGAAGGTTAGTTGTATGTTTATTTTTTATTGTGAACATTCACATTTTACTTTAGTATGTGTTTTGTTTTTTCAAAAGTTAGTTGTATGTTTGTTGTTTACTATGAACATTTACATTGTATTTTGATTTTCGTTTAGAATTTTTGTTGCGTTATTTTTAAAATTTTTACATTATAAGAAAGTTGAAAGTTCATAATTTAAGATTTTCTCTGTGAAATGAGAGAGATTTTCTCCATGAAATGAGGGATTATTATTTTTATTGTGTATTAGTTTCAAAATGGAAACATGTGCAAAAAATTAAAGGAGTGATTTGGTCATATTACATTAAACAGAATCTAATGGAATACTCAAAAAGAAGATGGGTTAGATGAAATAAAACACTTAGAAAGCTGATTTATCAAAATATGACCCATTGTTAAAAAAGGTTGAACGCTTACTGTGCTCTTTTCTTCCTAAGAGAGCCAAGCAATGCTCCTATTTGGTGTTGGATGAGCACCAAGAACTATTAATGAAGTTTCGAAATTTTTCTGTTGGTGTCTACATGTGCCTGACATGGAGATGACTCCTCTACATACTAATAATAAGCATGGACATTTATCCAAAAAAATAAATAATACTAAGCATGGATATAGATACAAGCACGAGACAAAGCGACAATTAGAAAATTAGGTTCTGGACTTGGCGAGGATGTCGTAAAAAATATTTACTTTTATTTATTATGCATATAAATATAAATTTAGGGGGTGACCATTGGTTCAATGGTACGATCTTGGCCTAATAACCTTGAGGTTATGGGTTCAAGTCTCAGGGCAGCCACTTTGTGCACTATGCCAAAGGTTAGGTGTGTACCCAATCTTTTCCCTCCCAAACACACATTAATGTGTACTATTTGGGCGTTGTTTATAAATATAAATTTAGGACACAGAGATATGAGAGGCATCAATTTATGTACGCTTTCCCCCCTCGTTGTTTCCATATATTTTGTTTTGATCCCAAATTAGCTTTTTAAAATTATGAAGAGAAACCCACAAAGTTGTCTTGAGGCGTGTCCAGAAACACATGACACACATGTCCCTGAAGCGTCCCCAACATATCCTGCAAAATGATAATAATTAAAAGGGTAAATTACACTAACCTCTCCTAAGGTTTAGAGAAAATACATTGGGCCCCACAAGTTTGGCATAATTATATTGGTCTCCTATAAGGTTTTAATTCACATAATATTTAGCTCCCTTTTATTTTATCAGTAATTCATTACTCATAAATAATGATTTTATCTCTTTTGCACTAAAATGTATATTTTACTTTGTTTATGCTTATTTCTATACACCATTTGTTAAAAAAGGTTGAACGCTTACTGTGCTCTTTTCTTCCTAAGAGAGCCAGGCAATGCTCCTATTTGGTGTTGGATGAGCACCAAGAACTATTAATGAAGTTTCGAAATTTTTCTGTTGGTGTCTACATGTGTCTGACATGGAGATGACTCCTCTACATACTAATAATAAGCATGGACATTTATCCAAAAAAATAAATAATACTAAGCATGGACATAGATACAAGCACGAGACAAAGCGATAATTAGAACATTAGGTTCTGGACTTGGCGAGGCTGTCGTAAAAAATATTTACTTTTATTTATTATGCATATAAATATAAATTTAGGACACAGAGATATGAGAGGCATCAATATATGTACGCTTTCCCCCCTCGTTGTTTCCATATATTTTGTTTTGATCCCAAATTAGCTTTTTAAAATTATGAAGAGAAACCCACAAAGTTGTCTTGAGGCGTGTCCAGAAACACATGACACACATGTCCCTGAAGCGTCCCCAACATATCCTGCAAAATGATAATAATTAAAAGGGTAAATTACACTAACCTCTCCTAAGGTTTAGAGAAAATACATTGGGCCCCACAAGTTTGGCATAATTATATTGGTCTCCTATAAGGTTTTAATTCACATAATATTTAGCTCCCTTTTATTTTATCAGTAATTCATTACTCATAAATAATGATTTTATCTCTTTTGCACTAAAATGTATATTTTACCTTGTTTATGCTTATTTCTATACACCATTTGCATTAGCTCCGGTCGCTTTAGCCCTACTAAAAAGGAAATCGTTGTAATTATGCAAAACTTGACACATCACGTGAAATTTACTATAATTAAACAGATTGACACATCACGTGTCATGTACGACACGTGAACACACTGTGTTGGTGCCCAACATGTGTCGGACACTGACATGGAAAATGGACTCTGTGCTTCCTAGTTTACGGAAGTATTTGTGCTACTTAGCTCTAGTTTTACTCAGTAATGTCTTGTGGTCTTCCATGGACCTCCTAATCTTAACAATCAAGATGGTCAAGTCCAATATGATTGGTGTATCATAAATTGAAAAGAACTTTTTTGTATTAACCAATTTTATTCATGTCATAGCTTGTGGCTTATTAGTGCTTCAATCTATTCACAAGTTCCTTCCTAATTTTTGTCGCATTCTATTTTGGTAATTTTGCAGCCTAGAAACAAAGCCTGTGGAGCTTCAGGATGCCCAATTTGAAATTCTCCACTGCAAATTAAAAATAAGACATCTATTTCAACATCTTGATTTGTTAACTGCTAGAGGAAAGTTTCCAGCATCCTTGTTTGATTCTGAAGGACAGATTGACAGCAACGACGTAGGAGATGCCTTCTCATAACAAGCCATTTTTATGTTTGCATGGCACTCGTACTGCTAATTTGGTGTTATTTTTGTTTCTGATGGTGTTTTTAGTACTTTGGAGTGGCAAATACTTATTCCTTTATCTTCTTGTGCCAGATATTCTGTGCAAAATGTGGGTGTAAAGATTCGCCAGCTGATAATGATATCATACTCTGTGACGGTGATTGTGAACATGGTCCTCTCCAGTTTTGTCTGGAACCACCATTGTTAAAAGAAGACGGTATGTCCAAACTACTCACTTGATAGGACTAACCTTGATTTTTTCTTGACTTCCTTATTTTCTGTTCAGGTTTCTGTCCGTCTTCTTTTTTTTTTTTCTTTTTTCTTTTTTTTCTGTCCTAATTATATCCCCTCCACATTATAGTTCCTCCTGGTGATGAGGGTTGGCTTTGCCCTGGATGTGATTGTAAGGTCAACTGCATCAAATTGCTTAATGATTCTCAAGGAACTAATTTTTCTATTCTGGACACCTGGGAGGTCAATTAAAAACTCTGGTCTGTACTATTGTCCAAGATTAATTGATCTACTTAAATGTTGCTTATTATGCTCTTCTCCATGCGCAGACGGTGTTCCCTTTGGAAGCAAGTATAAATAAGGATTTTGGACTTGGATTTTCATCAGATGATTCTGAGGAAAATGATTATGACCCAGATCCTTCAGAGGTGGATGAGAAAGTTGAGGGAGATGAATCAAGTTCTGACGATTCTGATTTCTATTCTGCTTCCAAAGACTTTGAGGATTCTTCTGATGATTCAGAGGATGATGATTATGATCCTACTGCTCCAGATCTCGATGAGCAGGTTAAGCATGAAACTTCACATTTTTATTTTACATCTGACTCTGAGGATTTTAGATGAACTCATTTCTGCATTATCAGACCATACCGAGCCCTTTGCAGGCTCTGATGGAGAAAGATCTAAAGTTCTGCAGAGGAAAAAACAAGCTTTAAATGCAGAGCTGTTATCTCCAATAGTCTTGTCCTAACCAAGGGGATTCTGCACACAGTTGAATTTTGTAATAAGGCAATAAGGTTGAATATGGAGAGATAAAAGTGTCAGAAAAGATAAAAGAAAGAAAGAGCTCAAAGAGTTGATGTGGTTCGGCCAATATTGGCCTGCATCCACACACACAAAGTCCTATGGGATACATCTTTCATTCACTCACTTGATCATCTTAATTACATGGTACGCCATACAATCAAATCCCTTCAGTGAAGGGATTGAGATAAATCAAAGATAGAAAAAATCATGATAAGCACAAATCATGAGATCTCCATTTCTTCTGATATCTTTAACAATATAGTCTTTTCTTCAACATGCACCTGTATCTGGAAAAGGACATGTAGAAAGGTTGGATTACGAAAAGTTATATGATGTGAGTTCCCTTCGTAACATTAGTCACAAATCATGATCTCCCCTCCCATCATTTTTACCTGCTGCGCTTTGAATTGATGGGAATCACGCACAATGCTAAGTATATAGAATTAGTCTAGATTTATTGATTTGTTCTTATTTAATTGGTTTGTGTTTCTGCATTTGGTTTTTCACCTGGCTGTTAATGCACATACTTGTATTTCCATCATTGCTTGCCATGGTAAAAACTGGGGCTGTCAAGCATGAGAGCATTGGTTTAAAGACCAAGCACAGCCACTTTGTGCAAAACAAGTCAAGGGTTAGGTTTGTGCACATTGCATTAGTGAGACGAACACTAGTTATTATAATGGCCTTTCATCAATTCAAGCTGAAATCTAGGGCCATTGAGACATGATAGTTTGTGTAATGGCTTCACATGGTCTTTTTCTTATTGCTGAATGATGTATACTCCAACCAACCTATCCTTATTAAATAAATCAACAACTGGCAGCATTGCAGTTCTGTACTTCTTTCAACAATTGAGGGTTCCACAGTCGTGTGGGGAAGGGAAAGGGAAGGAGGGTAACTGTGAAGCTCATGTTTTCGTAGTAGTCTTTATGTTGGCTTCATATAGTTTGTTCTTAGTGCCTAATGATTAACATTACGGTTTTGGAATTCTAAGCAGCCTGCAGGGAACTAATATGTCTCTCTGTTATTTAATATCTGCTTTTCAGTGTTCTTCCTTAGCGCATAGGCCTCATGGCACTTGCATTAGGACTGCTTAAGATGCTTTGGGTCATTACTCATTACTACTGTAAATATTTGATGAATTTTTTTGATGTCTATACATAATCGTCTCAGTTCCTAGTCTCTCTACATTGTCCTATTCTTTGTTGATGGGTGTTTGTTTATGCTTATGCTATCATATGACAGCTGTATAACCGGGTATTGATCCTCTCTCCATGTTCCCTTATGGTATCCTCAAATTTTTTTTTTTTTCCGTCTTCTAGTACACTTGCATCTCTACACTATTATATTATCTTTCTGTGCTATTCTTTGTTGATCGTTGTTATGCTATCATATGATAGCTGTAAAACTGGGCATTTACCCTCTCTCCATGTTCCCTTGTAGTATCCTCATTTTTTTTTTTGGCCGTTTTCTTGTACGCTTGCATCTCTACTCTATTATATTTTCTTTCCTCTCTTACCTCATATGTTCTTATCTTTGTTTATACTGCCTTGATATGTAAAGGAGGCATACGGAAATGTTTCATGTGATTCAAGTGATGGGCTGGATGCTGATGGCATACCAAAGAAGCGAAGGAAGAACAATACCGACAAAGTTGCTTCTGCATCACCCAGTGGAAGGACTCCAATTGTAGAGGGGACAAATGCTAAGGATATGCAGCACAGCCAGGGAGAGAGTGAACATACCCCTAAGAAAAGAGCGCATGAGGGGCTAGATGTTGAGGGCACAAATAATTCACCGGTGAAATTTTATGAACGTGGTTCTAATGGTACTAGCACTAAAAGATTTGGAGAAGCTGTAACTCAGGTATCACGTGCCTATGAATTAATTTTTACTACTGAATTTAGATGGTAGTCTGTATATGGAATCAACATTTTTCCATCCACTCAACTTCAAACTGGGTTATTTTACAACTGCTATTTCAATTTCCACAAATAGTGTTTGCATTGTTGTCAAATCGTGAATTGTTTTGCTAAAATAGTGAATTGTGAATTATAAGATTCACTTTATGTAGCATAATAAATGATTTTGTATATGTACAGTGTTCAAAATGAAATAAATATGAATATAACTAAATTGTGTATATGTATATATATAAAATCACGTATATCAATATAATTAGTTAATCTCTTTGTTTATTTTGTGAAAACCTAAGAAGTATGGACACGGACTCACAACAAACCAATTTTCAAAAAATGAAAGACATGACACGTGAGGGAAAATATATAATTTTATATATTTATAAAAAACGCAATATGATACTAATTTATATAAATTTGTTTTGTTTAAAAAAATATATATCTATATGAATATATCATTCAAAGATAATAAAAAAAAAAATATTTTGTTTATCATATCATTCAAAGATAATAAAAAAAAAAAAATTTTGTTTTTCATATCATTCAAAAATAATAAAAAAAAAAATTTTATATAATACTAATTTTTATAAATTTATTTTGTTTTTCTTTTATTATTATTATATCTTAAGTTGTTTTGTTCAAAATTATAATTAGTTTCATGCATGTCTAATCGATAGACATGTGTGTTTAATCGATAGACACGTGTCCTCCAAGTGTCTTAAGAGTGTCCGGGTTTGGATCTTTAAAAAAAATTTAAAAATAGGACACGTTTTGACAAGTGTTAGACACGTGTTGGGAAGAGACCAAGTGTCAATTGAAAAGCTCAACCCACACTTCTCCAAACCTAGGTATTAAGGAGGGGGAAACTGAAACTTTATAATTAGCACAGATGAGGCAACTTCACGATGTAGGACACATTCCAACAGTGTCGGTGTTCGTCGTCACCCTCTTAGAAGTGTCCATACTTCTTAGGTGAAAACAATGCCGTTTTATGCATTATGCAAGCAGAATTGAATCTTAATGAGTCGGAGTAAATCGTAATTGAATCGTAAGATTCACTCAATTCAAGATTCAATTGCATGAATCAAATCTTTTTGCTTGAAACTCGTATCAAATCGTAGGAATTTGTGGTGAAGTGGTTTGGAAATACTTTTGGATCCAGTTAGACGCTCTTGATCCTCTGATTGCTACCTAAAAAAAGGATGAATACTCCGGTCGGAGGTGCCGGAATTAGCACTCCGACGGGTAAGTCAGTATTCTCTTAAATGTACTTCTATCTTAAATTATCTTGTTTATTTTCACATCCATCTCTTTGGCTGACATTCCTTCTTTTTCATATTACGTCTGGGCCTAAGGGTCGGGCCCACTCTTGCATATAATTATTCAGTCGGCCTTTCAGTTGAGTATTGGCGACCAATTCATATACTCGGCTTCATGGGCACCTGGTGATGTCTCAACTGGATGGCTCGGCCTTTCTTCCTCATTGATTCAATTCGGCCTCCACAATTGCCTCCTGAACATCCGACTAATACCAATTAGTCAGCATGTTTGGTTTTGCATATCAAAAGTAAAAAATACAACGCTCACACTTCCTCCAATATTGAAGCGTCAGAATGAACATGATTTAGAAATCATTATAATTTCCTGCCCCTTCGTGCACATTGCTCATTTAATGCGATATGGAACCGCGTTGTCCCTTCGAATATTTTTAAATGTGCAAGGCTTTCTGGTTGTCTCACAATATCATTCCTTTTCTACGACCTCTGCGATTTCTGCCTGTTTCCCACTATCTTCTCTTTGACCTATAAGTTCTTCTCCTCTTTGTATTTCTTCCTCATTCCAGCTCCCATTTTCTTGTTTGTTTTTAGTTAGCATATTTTCTATTCCGATTTGAATGGCGAAACATTTGAAAGCTCTCCTTTCTGCGGACCATGTTTTTGCTTTTTGTCACCATTTCTCAATTCCAGATGACGTCCATCTGTCACCCGTGGTGAACAGTGTAGTTGACATGGAGAGGACTGATGCGAGTACGATCATCTTTCCCCTCCTGTCAATCGCTGAGGCGCGGAGTCCGTTTTCCCCTTCATCCATTTTTTAGGGCCGTTCTTCGCAATTGGGTTCTACTCCCTTCACAGCCAAATGTAAATTTTTACCGAATTATAATGGGCGTAATAGAATTAAATCGCTGACTTAGCATTAACCTAGGAATCCCTGCTATTCGACATTGTTATGCCTTGGAGAAATCTTCTGGTCGGCAGGGACGCTACTTTCTTAAGGCCAAGGACACAGATCACCATTTAGTGACTATGCTTGCCAGCTTTAGTAAGCGTGTTGACGACGTCATGGTCGTTGTCCAAGGCAACTGGGAATTCGGCGAAGGCAAAGATCACCTAGACTCTGTGCCTAAACAAAAAGGTGAACCATGTGGCCGTACAGACCCATTTCTCTTTCGTTTGCGCATTTCTGTATGTTTATTCGGCTTCGATTCCATGTACTTATCTTTTCGTTTGTGCAAGTAACAATCTAAAGAAAGCACTCACTACGGCCGACGACGCTGTGCTTGAGCAAGTCAAAACCGCACTTAAATTCTTCGGTTGTCCAAACCTTCAAAAGCAAAGGCGGCGTCCACGTGCTACTGCTATACAACCCAACATATTCGACTTTTTCAGCTGCTGATCATATCCCAATTCCAAGGGGTGAACAGCATCTTACGACACTCATCTTCCCAAACTTCAAGAGTCTTAGGGACATCGGCATTGAGGGTTCAGATTCAGTCCCAGGCGGTGAAGTCGGCAATCAGGTCACTAAGCAGTTGAGCTAGTCGAACTCAGATGGGTCTAAGGGTCGCTTAGGGGAGGAAGTTGACGCAGCTCTTAATTTGGCCTTTGAAGAAGTTGGCTTTGACCTCCCATCCACTTCAAATCGAATTGAAACATCCTCTTTAGAAGACGACATTTTCACAATCTGGGAGACTTACCCGGCACAGATCCTGAGAACATGGCTGGAGAATCGCTCGCACAGATGGCTAGAAGGCAAAATGTCGAAAAGATGGCAGCCTGAAGAAGAGCTCAAACTGCTAGATCAGTACCTCCACCGTCTGTTCCTGTTGAGGAAGTGGAGCGAGAAATTGTTGTGGCCGACTCAGTCGTTGAACAACAATCGGGCGATTTAGGCGCCGAACAAAGGGGTGAGAAACGCCCCACTAAGATAGTGGCCAAGTCTTTCGAAGAGTTAACCGATAAACGGCCTCGAATAGAAGAGTCCCAAGACTTGGCGGCGCCGTTTATCATCCAACCTGGAATGAAGAGTGCGCTGATTTCTACCGATGCGTCAGCTATGAAAGATCCCGTCGTGGCCCTAAGCATGGCTTCGGCGATTTCCTTGTCGATGGACAAGGCTACATTCCGTGCGGAACTGGACGTGGTTTCAATAGCATTAGCTGCGCAGTAGGCGATATTGGTATGTAATTAGCAAACTCCCACTTGCAGTTTCTTTTATATGCCGACTAACTTGCCCATGTTTTGTTTCAAGCGGTGGGTAGAATTGCAGAAATCGGCCGCTGTCATTATGACGCCGTCGAGCAAATTGGCGTACTTAAAGCCGAGATTGAAACCGAAAAGGGGAAAGCTAAAGTGGCGTTAGCCGAGTTGGCGATGGCGTCTCTTAGAGCCGAGTCTGAGGCCAAAAAGGTAGAAGAGAAGCGAGCGAGGGCCAATGCTGAAAAAGAAAAGGCCAGACAGGGCGTCTACTCTGGGTGGCCGCCGAGGAAAGGGCGAATATGAGTGATGATGCATTCAAGTTGGCCAAAGAGGCAATCACGAAGCTAGAGACCGATTTGGAAAAATCAAAGAAGGCGAAAGAACTCGCTAACTTAGAGATTTCCAAGGCATTCGATGCCAGAGAGAACGCGGCCATAGAGAAGTACGTGTAAGAGGTATTGAAGTTTGAGAACCGAGGCTTCAAACACGGCTGTTTTAGAGCCCTGGTGGCCACTAATGTCACATTGGAGCAGCCGACTCCATATAAGCAACTAGAGGTTGAGCCGTTGGAGTCTGACCCTGAAGAATAAATAGTGTTAGTGTAATTTTGCTTCATGTTAGGTATTCTCTGTATGTAGTTTTTGTAGGTTTTTGCTCATTTTGTTTAGAGGTCATTCGTAGGGCAGTTTTCATGTATAAAGTGACGGTTGTTTGTATTCAATTTATTAATGAAAATCGCCTTTTTGTCTCCATTCTGTATTTGCTAATTAGTGGATAAGTAGGACAATGTAGCGTAATACGGCACTAAATCTACCCTTGCCCCATTTGGACATGTCGTTCCAGGCCCGAATAAAACATATGGCCCAATGCTATGCACGTCTGGCCAAGTAGGGCAGTGTATCGTGATTTGGCTATAACATAAGTTGTCGAATAGATTCATATATCTGGCCTTGCCCCAGAGCCAAATAAAACATATGGCCCAATGCTAAGCACGTCTGGCAGTGGGGCAGTGTATCATGATTCGACTATAACATAAGTTGCCGAATAGATTCATATATCTGCCCTTGCCTCATTTGGACATGTCGTTCCAGAGCCGACTACCGACGCAGGGTTAGCTGTGGGGCGTATCGGAAATGGTGTATCCGTAATTAATGAACGAGGTACCTAGTATTTAAGAGGTTCCAGGCGTCGTGGAATAGATCTGGCATAAACGACGAAAGGGGTAGTCGATAATTTGAGAACGAGTAGAAACTTGAGTATGGACGGTGGTCGTGAGCGAGGTCATAAATGTCTCAAAGGTTATTTTTTCAACAGTAAAGGAGAAGGAAGGAGCTTAACGAAGCTGGACGCTGAAATGCATCTCGCTACTGGTGGCGAAGCTTAGAGAATAAGAAACGTGATAGCAGAGAGGAGAGAGACGTCGGTCGACCAGACGTTGGAGTAGGTCCCTTAGAAGAGGTGAAGTAGC